GTGCGAGTGACAAAAGGAGCGAGCGCCACCGCCGAGGGTCGAACCGCGAGCCAAAAAGATCTCGGGGTTTTGATGGGCTTGCGGGTACTGACCCGAGGGCAGACCACTGGGACAATCCAGCCCTATGAGGGTTCGGCGGAGAAGAGAGTGCCTAAGACCGCTTGGCTGCAACACCCCCCCCTCGCTCGAAGCGGGCGAACCCCGAAGGCGTCGCGGTGGCGCTCGAAGATCGGCGCCGGCAGCGACTTGGTCATCGCATCGGCGATCATCCGCGCCGTCGGGATGTATTCGACGCGGACGGACCCATCTTGCACCTGCTCGCGGACGAAGTGTTCCGTCAGGCGCAGGTGACGGGTGCGGTTGTGGAACTGCGGGTCCTTGGACAGAGCATTGGCGCCCTGGTTGTCGCCGTAGAGGATGGCGGCGCCGTCGGTGGGGAAGCCGAGTTCGCTGAGGAGCTGCTGGAGGAAGACGTTCTCCTTGCACGCGTGCGACAGGCTGAGGTACTCGGCTTCCGTCGAGGAGGCAGTCACCCGAGGCTGCAGCTTGGACGACCAGGAGACGGCGCCGCCGGCGAGGAGGAAGACGTAGCCCATTGTCGACCGCGACGTTGTTGGGCAGGCGCCCCAGTCGAAGTCCGAGTAGGCTTCGAAGCCGCAAAGAGGCGACGAGTCGGGCGTGTACTCGAGGCCGTAGTCGAGGGTGCCGCGGATGTACTGCAGGGCGCGAAGGACGGCAGCCCAGTGAGTGTTGTCCGGGTGGGCGGCGTGGCGACCAAGGACGCCAACGACGTGGGTGAGGTCGACGCGTGTGCCAAGCATGGTGTACATGAGCGAGCCCACGGCCTGGAGGTACCGACGGCGGAACTCGGGAGTGGGTTTGTGATCGTCGGGGGCGGGCACGAGTTGCTGGTTCGGTACCATGGGCGTCGGCGCGGTGCGAGTGCCGTTCGGGTCGATGCGGAGGAGGACGTCTTCGAGATACGCGCGTTGCGAGAGGAAGAGGGAGCCGTCGGTGCGCTGGTGGATCTGGATGCCAAGGATAAACTTAGCGGCGCCGAGGTCCTTGATCCCGTACTCCTCCTTCAAGCCAGACTTGACGCGTGTGATCTCGTCAAGCGAGGGCGAGACGAAGAGGAGGTCGTCGACGTAGAGCGCGATGTAGTGGTAGACCCCCCCTGCCTGACGAGAGTAGATGCACGTGTCAGAGACTGTTCGCCGGTACCCGAGTCGGCGGAGCGTGCGGTCGATGCGGTGGTTCCACACGCGGCCGGCCTGCTTGAGCCCGTACAAGGCGCGGTCAAGCTTGAGGACCTTCCCGCTGTACTCGCCGCCGTCGATGCCTTCCGGGATGCGCATGTACAGCTCTTTGTCCAGAGAGCCGTGCAAGTAGGCCTTGTCAATGTCGGCCTGGTGAATGAGCATCTTGTGCCGGGCGGAGAGGGCGAGTAGCACACGTATCGACGTGAACTTGGCGACCGGAGCGAAGGTGTCGCGGAATTCGACGCCGGGCCGCTGCGAGAAACCCTGCGCGACGAGACAAACCTTGTGCCCGGTGACCCGTCCGTGCTCGTCCTTCTTGCGGCGATAGACGAAGCGGCAGCCCAGGATCTTCGCATCCTGTGGTACGTCCTTCCGCTCGACGATGTGGAAGACCTTGAACTTGTCCCGCAGCGAGGAGAACTCCTCGTCCTTGCCGGCGCGCCAGCGCTCGATGTCCGAGTCTCGCATAGCCTTGCGATGGTTGCGAGGGTCCGAGGTGGGGAGCGAGAAGGCGTCGTCGGCGGCGTCGAGCTCGCCTGAGGCGGCAGCGATGAGGCCGGTGACCTCGGCGAGGGTTGCACCAAAGGGATCCGAGAGGAAGTTGAGGGGATCGGGCGAGTCGGATGTGGACGGCGTTGGCGCTGACGCCCTTGCGAAGTCGGGTCGTGAGGGAGCGGGCGTGACAGGCGTGGCGTGCTCGAGGCCGTGACGTGCGGGCGCGTGCGGCGTGGCAACTGTTGGCGCAGCCGGTGTGACGGGGGCTGGCGGAGCGCGCGGAGGCTGGTCGTCCCGTGCGATGGTGACGACAATCTCGGCAGGCTCGATCGCCTGCGTGCCCGGCGAGGCCTCAGTCGTGCGCGAGGCGAGGAGAGGGAACTCGTCCTCGACGAACCTCGCATCCTGGGAGCGGATCGTCTTGCGCGTGACCGGGTTGTAGAGGCGGTAGGCAGCCGTGTCACCATTGTAGCCGACGAAGATGAGCGGGATGGCGCAGTCGTCAAGCTTAGAGCGGCCGTTGGTGACGGTGTGCCGCGCGCGGCATCCCCACGTCCGCAGCATGTCGACGCGAACGGGCCGGTTTTGCCAGACCGCGAGAGGGACGTTCCCGGCGAGGGCTGCGTGAGGCGACCGGTTCTTGACGAAGACGAAAGCCTGCAGAGCCTCTGCCCAGAGCGTCTTGGGAGCTCCGGCTTGCGCAAGCAGGGAGACGATGCCCTCGACAATCGACCTGTTGACGCGCTCGGCGACGCCGTTGGACTGCGGCGAGTAAGGCGGTGGCAACTCGCGCGTGATGCCGTGCTCGGCGAGCAAGTCGTCGAAGGCGCGGGACATGTACTCGCCGCCGTTGTCGCTCCGGAACCGCTGGATCCGTCTGCCTGACTCGTTCTCAACGACGGCCTTGAAGCGCACGAAAGCCTCGATGACGTCCGACTTGCGTGCGAGAGGCTCGACCCAGAGCATGCGCGTGTGGTCGTCGACGAACGTGACAACGTAGCGACGGCCACCGAGAGACGGCACGTTGATTGACAGGACGTCGGAGTGGACGAGCTCGAGCGGCGCTGTGGCGATGCTGTCTGACCGAGGGAACGGGAGGCGCGACGAGCGGGCAACGTGACAGACGTTGCAGGCGTGGCTACCGCTGGCCTTCGACCTGCCGTTCCCGTCCACCTTCAAGCCCGTGACGTGCTTGGACCGTGCGAGCGTGTCGATCGACCTGAGCGAGAGGTGTGCGAAGCGACGGTGCCAGGTGGTCAGCTCGGTGGTTACCGGGCCTGAAGCGAGGAGGGCGGACGCACCCTCGACAGCGGGCGGGTCCACAAGCGCGCCGTCGAGTTGGTACAGGTTCGACGTCAGGCGTGAGCCGGTGGCGACGACTTGGCCGTTGCGGGAGAGGACGGCGCCTTTGCCGAAAGTCGTGGTGACGCCGTGCAAGTCGTAGAGCTGGGAGGTCGAGACGAGGTTGACCGTGATGCCGGGAACGAAGAGGGCGCGCTCGACCTTCACGACGCGTCCGCTGGCGAGCTTGACCGAGAGCGAGCCGACTCCCATCACCTTGAGCCCGTTCTTGCCGGATAACCCCCCCACGGGCAAAAGCGTGCATGAGCGGAGCAACGAGAAGAGGCGGCTGTCCCCGCACATGCTGTGTGTGGCGCCGCTGTCGAGGGTGACTTCGCGTGTAGGGACGGGCGGGCAGGGCGCGATGCCGCTGATCCACGCCTCGACGCCGTCGCTGTCGAGTAGCTCGGCGAGGGCGGCGGTGGGAGCGGGAGCCGAGGACGAGGGCGGCGCTGGAGACGAGGTGGCGGTGGCGAGGCGGGCGGAGGCGCGCTCCTTGCGCTGCTTGGCCTGCTTGGCGCGGTACTCGTCGCGCTTCTTTGGGTCGCACTCCCGGAGCCAGTGCATGCCTTTGCAGGCGGGGCAGGGCGAGCTCGGCGGATCGCTGTTCCGGGCGGCAAGAAGTGCGACGCCGGTGGTCGAGGGTGCAGTACGGAGGATCTCGTTGCGTACGATCTCGAGGATGGCGTCCGGGCGTGGGAGGGTCGACTGGTTGGCCACGGCGAGCGATGTTTGCAGCGAGCTGAGGGAGGCCGGCAGCGCGTTGAGGAGGTGTGACGAGTAGATCGTTTCGAGGTCGACCTGCGCCGTTTTGAGGGCTGCAAGAGTGGCCTTGTAGTCCTTGGCGAACGTGTCAAACGCCTCAGGCAAGGCGGTGGGGAGCGAGAGCAACCAGAAGCGAGTGAGGAGTCGCAGGGCGCCTTGGACGTCCGTAGGGCGGAACGTGTCGCGCAGCGCGGCCCAGTACGCATGCGCGTCGTGCTCGCAGTCGGCGACGTGGTGTATCACGGAGCTGTGGCACGAGATGACGATGGTCGAGACGACGAACTCGTTGAGGCGATCCCAGTCGGCGACCGAAATCCCCCCCCTCGCCTCGGGCGAGGTCGCCCGTCATGACCTTGTACGCGTCCGGTCCGATAAGGCCGCGCAGTTGGATGCACCAGACGTCGTAGTTGTCGGCTGAGCGGAGGTGCGAGTTGGCGGGCAGAGGGGTGGGGCGAGACGGGACAACGACGGCGCTGGCGGCGGCTCGTTCGCCCGCGGCAGGCTTGGTGTCGACTGGTACGGTCATACTGGCGCTGATCGAGCTCCCAGCGAGAGCGGTTGCGGCGGTGTGCGGTCGGGAACGAGTTTTCGTTCAGGCGCGACTCGGGCTCATAACCTGTGACCACTGCTCTCCAGCGGAGTGA